TAAAGTTGGAGAAAAGAAGGCAAAAGGCCAGGTATATGACTTTATCATCAAACAGTTACCCACCACCAAGCACAAAACTTTATGCAAGCAAACACAGAAAGCCTTAAGGATTGACAATTTATTTGAAAAAATAGGAATGGACAAGATTCAATACATCAAAACATATAGTGCAGATACTATTTCAAAATTTACTAATTCTCAGATTCAAATGATTATAGATCACCAAAAAACCTGATATAGAATTTATCGATGAAGAGGATAATTTTCCAGATAATTTATCTGAAACTGAGGTGAGTATACCTACCGAATCAATTCCTTTAGACCCAGAGGGTCATTGCTCTGCAATAGATTCATCCCAAGAAAATAATCAAGATGAGTCAAAGGCTCGAGGCTCTGCTTCCAGAAATTATTTTTACTATATTTACTTTTTTTACTTTATGCTTTCGAATAGGGCGTTTCTTTACCGCATGTATAACTTCTATTCCTGAACTGGAAAAAGCACTTGAGTCTGGAGTATCTAAATTGGAAGAAGTATCTGAATCTATTGAATTAGATGAGTTATTTTTACTAGAGCTGGCTTTGTTAAAATCTTCATCGATTAATGGGATGCTCATACCATCTATTATAATTTTAGGAGAAAATCCAAAGCTTATTTTTGCTTCACGCATCCATAACCAATCTTGTCCTAACACTAGATCAAATGATGGATTTTTGCGAATTTGAAAGTCTATTACTTCAGTACAATCTAAGCTTTGCCACTTTCCTTTATAGCAAAATTGCAAATCTAAACATTTTATTTCACCTATTACATTTCCATAGAGATTCTCAACAGGATCACATATTCCATAATCTTCTTCAAGCTTATTGAACAAGCTCTTGCTAATAGTATTGGATTTAGATGTTGTATCAATTAACGCTTTAACTGGGATTTTTCCTTCTATGAGTTTTTCTATGAAAACCATGTCAAATATTTTTTAATGACGTATATTATAATCAAAAAAATAACTCGGTAAATAATTACCCATTCTCCTCTACTAGATATAATTATTTGTAACTCATGATGGATAATTAGAATTAATCCCACCAATTTCTCTGATATAATTACTGAATGCAGAAATAAAATCTGTTCTATCTAATGATGGACCTGCAAAGAGTGGAATATGTAGAGGTGGGTGAGAACTGGACCATTTATCATCTGAATAATCAGGATATTTGATTTTAATTATTGGATTGAATTTTTTCATTACTTCTTTGCTAATCCCTTTACACCCTCCCAAACCGAGCTATTTCAAATTAGTACAGTTGTGGGCTATTTCCTCGACAGCTTTATTACCAATTGAACAGTTGCCAAGCTCAAGATGTCTAAGTTTTGGACAAGAACGCGCTATTTCAGTGATACATCGATTAGTAAGGCATATACGTGAATTAAGACTCAGGTGTAATAGCTTTGGGCAATACCTCGCAATTTCTATAATTGGTATGTTAGAGAAACCCTTACTTTTATCAAGAATAAGAGTGCGTATACCTGGACACGAGCGTAGAATCGTACTAATCAATACATCTGAGATTTTTAAACCTTCTAATCTGAGATATATCATCTTGGCGCAATAGAGTGGCTTTATTTTTCTACATATAACTCTTTCAAAGTTTATCAATTGCCGAGTAAGAACTCGAGGCATCTTACGACCATGCCGACCTCTCTGATAATCTTTTTCTGTAAAAAACTCAATGCGACGCCATAGAATAGGAGCACCGCAGTGATACCAAAAGTGGTTGACGAATAAAGCGGGATAGAGGGATTGATTGATTTCTAAAAAATATAAGATCTGTTCTAGTAATTCTGGTAAATCAAAAATATTTAGTCGTGTCATACTCAAGTAATATATATATCTTTAATCAGAAAACAACTAATGTTCGGATAATTAATTTTAGGCTGATATACTATGCATTTTCCGGATATTCTCAAACTCATTCAGCTTTTCTACCAGATTATCTGATGACAGGACTAGACGAAGTATCAGAGTTAGTATCCGATTCCAATTCTATGATGCAACAGTTGACCTTATTTTTCTTGCTCTTATTTTGATGTAAGCGAGAATTAGAAGGATATGACTCATTATCCTTTAGCCGTACCAACTCTTATATCTTTACACACCTCAGTTCATTCTCAATATTGGAAAGTCTTTTAAAAATCCCATAATATATATCATCTTCTATAGAATGAATCGACTTCCAAATATTATTGAGGTGCGTTTTAATTGAAAGGTTTCCACACCCATCACCTAAATCTACTTTAGGATATTTCTTAATCTTGCTAGCTCCGCTATTTTTGGAAACATCATCATTTAATCTTCCGGGTGTTGGAGATACAGGAGATATGTTGCTGTGATACCTCTTCCGTTGCTTATTATCCTTGCTTCTGAGAGATAATTTCTTGAACATATCCACAAGTTCATCCAGAGTTATATCGGACTCAGGTGAGTTATTTTTAGTGGAGTTGGCTTTGTTAAAATCTTCATCGGTTAATGGGATACTCATACCATCTATTACAATTTTAGCACGGTGTTCACAGGTTTTAGAAGAAAATTCGAAGCTTATTTTTGCTTCACGCACCCATAACCAATCTTGTCCTAACACTAGATCGAATGATGGATTTTTGCGAATTTGAAAGTCTATTACTTCAGTACCATCTAAGCTTTGCCACTTTCCGTTATACTGAAATTGCAAATCTAAGCATTTTATTTCACCTATTGCATCTTTATAGATTTTTTCAGCACCAACAGATACAAACCCTATACCATATTCTTCACCAAGGCTGTCGAATAACTTCTTGCTAATAGTATTAAACTTTGAGGATGTATTAATTAATGCTTTAACTGGAATTTTCCCTTCTACAAGACAATTCACAAACATTGGTAAAATATTATTTAATGATGTATATTATAACCAAAAAATAATTATTATTTATTCTGAATTTTATCATGTATTAATAAATAATATTATGGCATCAACAACGACTAAAGCTACTATTGATTCAGACACTAACTGGTCAACTATAACTGAAGAAATTATAAACTCGATAGCAAACCCGGATATTTCTCAAAGAAACCGTACACCATGTAAGGCTAAAAGAAAAAAGTTAATTTTAAATGATACCGCATCTGAGTCCTCATCCTGATCTTCATCTGGGTCCGACTCTGAATCCGTCTAATGGTGATAAAGATTTTACTGTGATTGTGGCAAAAGTAAAGAAGCGTAATTAGTTATCATCATCATAAAGGTGGAATGGTCTTGCCTGCTCCGGAGTCTGCCCTTTTTTCCGATAATTTACTACAACATAATTTTGCACAGGTGAAGTATGGTTGTCGGGGTTATGGCGTAGACATTCTCCAGCAATGGTATAAGCATGAGCTATATTCTCGGCCTCATGTACTACGACACCATAAACAGCACCTATTTTTCGTAAGTATTTGGGAACTAAATTATAATCTTTTAAGAATCTATTGAACCATTTAACTCCTGGCTTACCTGGATCACCCATTCGTCCAGATGATATAGTGCTCTGAATCCAAGTGAGTAGTTCTTTGGCTCGTTCTTGATTCTTTTCCATAGATCTAAATTTTCTAGGAATATCTGGCTGACCCCGATTCTTTGCATATCCTGTTACTCCAGAATCTGTAATACGTAAAGTTGTAAGTTCAGCAGGGCGGATACTAAGCATCACCATAACATCAGCAAGAGCCTTACAATTAGGTAAAGTTTTAACATTATACGCATCTAATCTTTCTTTGACTGATTCTAATGTAAATTCATCTGGATAATCAATTGTTTTAGCCTTTTTCCGATTGTCCATTTGGATTTTGTTAGCATCTTCTGTAATATCTGGGAATTTCGTGGCCTCAATTATATCAAATGATGCACCAAGGGTTTTTAATTCTCTTCTAAGCCGTGAAAGACGTGATGAACCAGCATTGGCATTTTTTGCTGATAGGGCTAAGGCATAAGCTTCAGCTCTTATATCCCTAATACTAAGCTTATCTCGTAAAAACCGATGTGCCATCTCTCCAATAGTTTCTTGTAAGACCTGATCTTTCGAAGAATGGAGACTTTGTCTCTTAGAAATAACAATGTTTACTGTAGAACAGGACACGTTCTCCTTGGTCTTATTTTCGTTTTCCTGGGCAGAGAGGCGATGTAAGTCGCTTTGCAAATCAAATAAGGCTTCCACTCGATCCTCACTAAACCCATATCTATTTTGCAAGATTCGTTTTGCTTTCTCTCTGACGATCTCTTCTTCCAAACTTTTTGGAGGCTTGATCACAGCTATTCTACAATTACCATCAACTAAATTTATAGTTTTATTTTTCCCACCTCTCTGATTAGGTATTAATATACTTACCTGTTCACTGCTAAATTTAAAACCATCCCGAAGACGTCGTCGAGCCTGATTTCTTTTTCTATCATCTGTAAGATTTTTGAGAAACTCTGAGGTGTATCGACTCAGATCGGTCACACTCTTCTCGGAGCTGAGATTGTATTTTTCTACGATTTTAGTTGTAATGGCTGACATGATTGAATGTTATAATAGGTCAAGTAGGTTGTGAACAATTCTTCAGGTTATATACACTATAAAATATATTTTTTCAAATCGAAATTAATTATGCCTTTTCCTCTCATGCATAGAAAAAGAGCATATATGTCTACATATGGGTAACTGACCATCGATTTGAAATTTAAATCGTTCTTTGCATTTTTAATACATACATTATTATTTATGGTACATTCAACAATTTTTAGTATACCAGAAGTATTAGAACGAATTTTATATTTCTTATTGGTAGATAAATCCCTCTATCCCACTCTATATGTTTCCCGATTGTGGTACAGATGCGGTGGTCCTATTCTATGGAAACGAGTTGAGCTAAAGAATAGTAACATACGAAAAAGTTTTATGAAAATAATACGGGAGCGGAAGCCAGTTTGTTGCTTGAATGTAACTCATTTAAAAATTCCATATTACTACCATCTTTCGGATAAAAAATTCAAAATTATTGCGGGTCTGCTTCCAAATATAATTCATTTAGATTTCGCTTTTAGTGAGAGATTTAGTGATAAAACATTAAACCGAATAGCAAAATCATATCCTTATCTGAAGTATCTCAACTTGGCGGGATATAGTGATGGATTAATAACTGATAAAGGTTTATATGCAATCACAAATTCATGTCATAAATTAGAATATCTGAATATCTCTCACCGCAAAGAATTTTCTGAAATAGCGATTTGGAATGTTATTCATTCTTGTCCAAAGCTCCAAGAGTTTGATATTCGTGAATGTAAAATTTCCTATACAACTATCAAGGAAATTGAACTATATCTTAAAATAAAATATATTAATCCAGATATCACCAGCAGATATTTGAAAAGAATCGGTCGGATCCATTGATTTGAAATTTACTGATATATAGAAAAATTGAATGGGTCGCGATTAATGTAATTCTATCGAGAAATGGATA